CGAAACATCCACGCCTCGCGCGAGGTAACTTTATCCCGATTCTAAAAATAACTCGAGACGAATTACCTATGGAATAGGGTGTATAAGGGGGATGCCCTCTCTGTCCCCTTTATAGTCTCTTGATTGAACCTTAAACTGAAGCTACATCAACTATGGAGAACTGCATTGGGACTCAGTCAAAATTGCTGATTGGTTCTCCACGCGAACTTCATCAGTTGCCTTCATCAGTTGCCAATTTGGTTTCACAAACGCGTCCTCTAAAGCTCATTTCCGCTCCACGGAAGGGCAAACATTTTATTGGTCAATTATGACAGCTGGTGACAGCATCAAATGCACAGGGTCCAGAGGAGTTTCGTGTGAATAAATGAATTACTTATTTAAAGTCTCACTTCAAAAAATGTCTATATCTGTCGCTTGGCACGATTAATTAGCCCAAATTAATGGAATCTTTATGAATCTACTGTAAACGATTTCTTTGCTTCTTATCGGACCCAGATAGACTTTGTTGTTCGCCATTTTGAAAATCAATAACCGCAAGCCATATCCTCGCTGGCGCACGGCACGTCGTCCGAAGAGTGACCGAAGGGCGACCGAGGCACGAAGTGCCGACCGATCTTGCAAGCCCTCAGTCTCTTGGTTTGCGGTCTATAGAATGTGTAACGAAACTGTAACACGATCAAAATAACCCATTTTTTCAGAGGTTTTCGACGGGTTTTGATGTTCTAATGACAAACACATCTCCTCTGGACCCTGTGTCAGATGTCGGTGCGCGAACTCAGGCATGACAGGCCAAGTGGGCGGTTTTCAAAATCCTGGGGTTTGTCTGCAAGCGTTTTCTTCCTTTCTTCCCCACCCCCTCCCCGCTCTTTTACTTGCACCATTTTTCGCGCGATCTTTGACTCTCGTTCCTCGTTCTTTGCTCCTAAACCGCACAGAAACGCTTGCTACGCAGGCTACGGTGGCTTACGAAGATTTAAATTTCGCGGTCGATGATCTGCCTCTCGAATAATAGAGGCACTTTACCTTAAACAATAAAAAAGACCATAAAAGACGCGAAAGTCTCTCGTCATTGTTAACCCAAAATTGCACATAGTTGACACAGCGCGCTTCGTTTGCAAGCCACTAGCCGGCTAACAAATAACATGTTTTAAAAGCATCTCAACCACTTGGCGGTGAGAAATTTAGAAAATCTTTGATAGGATAAACATTTTTTAAGCGAAAATATTAGGAATTCTAAGCGTACATCACGGAGATCCTTCTAGCTCGACGGTTTCGTTGTAACTGAGCTACTTGATAATTCGCCCCATGATCCTTTGCGAACTGCTGTCCAATTTCCTCTGATCCATTTCTAACTCTGAACGCTATTCTCATAGTGTGTCGATTATTCAACGTGTCTGTAAGCTTCAACTATTTTTTTTTAATGTAAGTCTAGACGATAAGATGTAAGCGACCAAAGTTTCGTTTCCATCCGTGGATAAGCAATCTGCGATACGGAAAAAGATGGCGCTCCCCGTTGCATCCTGGGTAGATCAACGAAATGTTGGTTCTGCTATTGACGAACGTTTTGATCAGCCGAATTTTAAAGCGCATAAGAACTTGGAAAGTGTTCTTGTTAACTTTCTTAATGACGACAATTTTTCTTCTCAAATTAAGTTAAATTATGCAGAAGACATCAAGTACTATTATCTTCTTCCCCTGTAGGAGATATTCAAGGTTCTGATGAAGGGCAAACAAATTGAAAGTTTTTCAGATATATTACAGTAAATGAAGTGAAGAGGCAGAAGAGCCTTGCTTGAGCGTGCCATCATTGTTGCGGTTGTACAAATCTGCCAAATCCAGCCGCTACAGCAACGGGCGAAAGATCACTTTAGTTTTCTGTGGCGCGCAGAGTCAAAACCTGGCTGCGAGCTAAGATGACCCAGCACAGATTTAAGAGTGGTGCAATCTTAATTACTCATAACACAAAAACTGACGCTGTGTGACTTGCTGATGTGGCTAAAGAATTTGTCAGTCGAAATGATAACCGCAAACGTAACTTTGGAACATTTATATACTGACGCTGATCGGCCTCCGGTCCTTCATATAGCCAGCTAACTGGACTAACATATGATAGACCCGACAAGGGCCAATGCGAAACCTTTAAGGCTTATTTCTTTTTCTTGGTATTTTGTTAATTCTGTTTGGTGAAATCCAGTTTAAATGGTAACAGAATATAAATCTAAGGATTGGCCTTAATATTATTTGAATTTTTTGTCACATTAAATGGACGCCATATATTTTAATTAAGTTTAAATTTACGTTTTTGTGTAGAAAACAATGAAAATGGTGATTAAAATTTAACAACATTTTCCCCGGTTTGATATACGCGTTTCTGGTGATTTTACGGGCTCTAAATTTCAAAATTTTCCCGGGGAACATACCCCCGGACCCCCTTAGATATACTCGCGCGTTCGACGCTCGTTCAGCCCCACCAATCCAAAATACGTTCCGCGGTCCCTGTACATCCTCCGTAAACAAGCGTTTACACTTACACACACACACACACAAAATCATACACCCTTGCACACACCAAACGTAACTAGCTATAGTTGATTAATTTAGAGCACTTCTCTGATGTCTATATATTTTTCTACTTCTATCTTCTCCTAATTAAAGAGCTAGCCAGGTAGAAAATCATAAAACCGTGATTTTAACACCATGCAATGCGTTAGAGTACAGAAGGTTTTTGCCGATGAGAATTAAATATTTGAGTAAAAGAAGACCAGTTTTTCATTACACCATTCGTAATTTGATTTTTGCAAAGAGTTAGGGATTGTTTAGATAGAGAATGATTCAAAGAGAAATCTAGGACGCAAAGGAAAAAGCAAAGGAACAAGATCGAAATTTATTCTTGTATTTACTCCTATTTCTTAGGCGGCACGTGTAATGCCTTTTTTGAAACACGAATTTCATGCTTACCTACTCAGATAACCACTGAGTTAAAAATTTACCTCCTTGCAAAACAAATAAAATAGATAATGAAGCTAATTTCTTCGCTTCTTCTTTAATCCATTTTGTTGGCAACAATAGCCAACGCGTACAAAGTATTTTCCTGAAATTTTATCTCAAATAATTATACTGTTCCCTCGAAGAGCTGTAGATTAGTTATGAACGTAAGTATGACATGTAAAATCTTGGACGACCTTCTTATTTCTTCAGAGCTAGTAGCTGCAGTTTAGGTTAGTCTTTGCATAGAAAGACACTGTACGGTAGTCTTGCAAATAAATGGGCGTTTGCCATTTTCCAAAACAACCTACAGGAGTATCAATATTTAAAATAAAAGTATAACAAGATATTAGGAGGATTTTCAGGTTAAGGACATTATTTTAACAGCTTTTTAAAGGACAGAGATATAACTGATTTTACACAGGATAAAACACTCTTATTTTTGCTGTTTTTAGTCATGCGGTGGAGGTAAAAGTAAACATGAGCAACCCGACAGCACTTCCCACGTAAAGGATTACTTGTGCAATACTCACCTTGGAGATAAAGCTTTCGAACGCGGTGATTATAAAACAGCCCGATATTACTTCGAGTTGGTATTAAAGGAAGCCAGAGAGATCGGAAATAAAGATCATGAAGGAGATGTATGTAACATCCTTGGCCAGATCTATCACAAACTCAGTGATTTGCAGAAAGCAATCGAGTTTTATCAGCTGAGTCTAAGTATCGCAGAAAAGACTCGAAACAAAAATTCTGAGGGAGCTGCATATAACAACCTTGGCGCTGCCTACCGCGATCTCGGTGATTTGCAGAAAGCAATCGAGTTTTATAAGCTGAGTCTAAGTATCGCAGAAAAGACTGGAAACAAACATTCTAAAGGAACTGCATATAACAACCTTGGCGCTGCCTACCGCGATCTCGGTGATTTGCAGAAGGCAATCGAGTTTTATAAGCTGAGTCTAAGTATCGCAGAAAAGACTCGAAAGAAAAATTCTGAAGGAGCTACATATAACAACCTTGGCGCTGCCTACTACGATCTCGGTGATTTGCAGAAAGCAATCGAGTTTTCTCAGCTGAGTCTAAGTATCGCAGAAAAGACTGGAAACAAAGATTCTGAAGGAGCTGCATATAACAACCTTGGCCGTGCCTACGGCGATCTCGGTGATTTGCAGAAAGCAATCGAGTTTTATAAGCTGAGTCTAAGTATCGCAGAAAAGACTGGAAACAAACATTCTGAAGGAGCTGCATATAACAACCTTGGCGCTGCCTACCACGATCTCGGTGATTTGCAGAAAGCAATCGAGTTTTCTCAGCTGAGTCTAAGTATCGCAGAAAAGACTGGAAACAAAAATTCTGAAGGAACTGCATATAACAACCTTGGCAGTGCCTACCACGATCTCGGTGATTTGCAGAAAGCAATCGAGTTTTATAAGCTGAGTCTAAGTATCGCAGAAAAGACTGGAAACAAAGATTCTGAAGGAACTGCATATAACAACCTTGGCCTTGTCTATCACGATCTCGGTGATTTGCAGAAAGCAATCGAGTTTTATAAGCTGAGTCTAAATATCGCAGAAAAGACTGGAAACAATAATTCTCAAGGAGCTGCATATGAGAACCTTGGCGGTGCCTATAAAGGTCTCGGTGATTTGCAGAAAGCAATCGAGTTTTTTCAGCTGAGTCTAAGTATCGCAGAAAAGACTGGAAACAAAGATTCTGAAGGAACTGCATATAACAACCTTGGCGCTGCCTATCACGATCTCGGTGATTTGCAGAAAGCAATCGAGTTTTCTCAGCTGAGTCTAAGTATCGCAGAAAAGACTGGAAACAAAAATTCTGAAGGAACTGCATATAACAACCTTAGCACTGCCTACCTCGATCTCGGTGATTTGCAGAAAGCAATCGAGTTTTATAAGCTGAGTCTAAGTATTGCAGAAAAGACTGGAAACAAAAATTCTGAAGGAACTGCATATAGCAACCTTGGCTCTGCCTATCACTATCTCGGTGATTTACAGAAAGCAATGGAGTTTACTCAGCTGAGTCTAAGTATCGCAGAAAAGACTGGAAACAAAAATTCTGAAGGAACTGCATATAACAACCTTGGCGGTGTCTATCACGATCTCGGTGATTTGCAGAAAGCAATCGAGTTTTATAAGCTGAGTCTAAGTATCGCAAAAAAGACTGGAAACAAAAATCTTGAAGGCAGAGCATATAACAACGTTGGCGCTGCCTATCACGATCTCGGTGATTTGCAGAAAGCAATCGAGTTTACTCAGCTGAGTCTAAGTATCGTAAAAAAGACTGAAAACAAAGACTCTAAAGAAACTGTATATGGCAGCCTTGCTTATAGATGTTTCTCTTTTGGCGACGTAATTAAAGCCGAGGAGTGTGCTAAATCCTCTATAAAACTGGTCGAGGAAATGAGGCATCTCCTGCCGGGGAAAGACGAGTGGAAAATCAATCTTCGGAATAAGCAAGATAGGAGTTATACTCTTTTAAGGAGACTTCAATCACAACAAGGTAGAACCCTTGAGGCACTTTTCACAGCTGAGGCGGGACGAGCACAAGCTCTCATGGATCTCATGGAATCACGATATTGCGTCAGGGAATCAATTCGACCGTCGTCAGAGCAGCAGATGGAACTAATAATGACAATTTCAGGACTTGTTTCTTCACCTACGATTTTTGTAGCAGAAGATGAAAAATTAGTGAGTTTGTGGTTACTGCTTAAGGGACAGCAGTGTCATTTTATCCAAAAGGAGATCAGTGTTGACTTAAAATCACTAATTCAGGAAACGTACCAAAAGATTGGTGTCAAGGATCGCTCTCGGGATGAGCCAAAAGATGAGAGAGAGAGAGAGAGTGTTGCTCTTAAAACATTGCATGACGTGGTTATCGCTCCATTTTCACACTTGATAAAAGGTGACGAACTCATCATTGTCCCTGACCGCTCATCATTCTTGATTCCTTATGTTGCCCTTGTGGACCAGAATTCGAGGTATTTGTCTGAAACGATGAGAATTCGATTGGTTCCATCACTAAGAAGCTTGAGGCTGCTGGCAGAGTGTCCGGAGGACCGCCATAGTACATCTGGTGCACTGCTTGTTGGTAATCCGTGGGTGGAAACTGTACGCATCAAAGGGTCCAAATTCCAACCGCTTCCGGGTGCTGAGAAAGAGGTACAAATGATTGGACAGATTCTTAACATTGAACCTCTCATTGGTAGGAACGCTACAAAAGAACAAGTTTTGAGTAGGCTCAACTCAGTTTCTTTAGTACACATTGCAGCTCATGGTTGTGCAGAAAACGGAGAAATTATTTTGTCTCCTAATCTTGCTGATGCTAAAAAGCCGAAAGAGGAGGACTTTCGTTTGACAATGAGAGATGTTTTGGATGCACAATTGCGCGCCAAGCTTGTTGTCTTAAGCTGCTGTTTCAGTGCACGAGGGGAGATCAAAGCCGAGGGCGTGGTTGGAATTGCACGTGCCTTTTTAGGAGCCGGTGCGCGTTCTGTTATTGCGTCCCTGTGGGCGCTCAGCGACGAAGAGACTTTGGAGTTTATGAGACATTTTTACCAACATTTGGTAGCGGGGCAAAGTGCAAGTAAGTCCCTTCATCATGCCATGGAATGTATGCGGGAGACTCAAAAATTAAAAGCCGTGAAGTACTGGGCGCCATTCGTGCTGATTGGGGAGGACGTGACAATGAAATTTGGCCAATGAAAGGTTAGTTGCTCAGTTAGTTGCTAGATTTTTTTCATCAGCATTAAATTCAGCACGTGCGAAGTTCGAGTTTTGAAACGGAACTTAAATTTCTACCACGACAGAAAAAGAGTAAATTAAAGCACGGACGACAGATTGAAAAACACGTTGTGCAGAGTAAAAAGAAACCAACACAGCTAAAGGATCATGCTAATTTGAACACATGAGGTCAGTTTTCAGTTGCAGGCCAGAAATAAGGTCAATCAATCAATCAACAGATCGATCAATCCGTAGTTTCACAAGTTCTGATGCCACGAGACTATGGTTAACACAACAGAGCAAAGACCGACAGTTTATTATTGTTAGTTTTTTCGTATTTCCTTCTATAACAATGAGCATTTTTTACGTCTGCGTGATGAAAGCGTACTATTCGGGTGTCTGGCCGGTATACTTCCTGAGACAGTTAGCTGTTGTAACTCTATTTCAGACCTGAAACTCCGTTTTCAAGCAGGAGGCGTAACTGCCTGTACGCCAGTGTGCACATGCGTTATTCAGCCTGTAATGCTTGTATAAGAGTACCCCTTCCCCCTTGAGACAGTTACCTGGTGTTACCTTATTTGAGACCTGAAAATCTGTTTCTATACCGGAGGCGTAGCTACCTTTTCGCCAGTGTGCACCGGCCTGTAAAGCTTGTATAAGAGTAGCCCTCCCCCTCCCACTCCTCCCTACGCAGGAAAATTCCCCACCTGGTCATAGCTGGTCTTCTCGCTTATTAGCAAGAGAGGATAAAGGGGACAGAGAAGGCGTCCCCCATACACACCCTATTCCATACGGAATTCCTCTCGAGTTATTTTTAGAATCGGGATAAAGCTACCTCGCGCGCTGCGTGGATGTTTCGTGGAGGTTTCGCAAGACTAAACGCCGTGCAAAACATGTCGGGCGAAAGGCAATGAAAGCGTGAGGAGATCGAGGGCATTTCTGAATATTGAAGCGAAATGAGTAGGCGCTAACCTAGGAAAAGGGAATCGCTGGACTCTTTGACAACCCCTGAAATCAGTTTAACTCGAAGTTGTCGTATCCTCAGTGCTTTAATAAAATGAGAAATTTCGCCGGTCTTTTGAAACCGGTCGTTTGTACAATAAAGCAAGTAGGACGCCAAGTGTTATTTTTGTTGAATAATAAAAGACTAATAAAAGAATAAATATCAAACCAGAAATTGCTCTCTTCAAACTGTAATTTATAAAAGATCCTGAGACAATATTTAGTGTGTTAAGGATTTCCCTGCTGTACTGTTAGCTCAATACAAGAGAGGAAGGGCGATTCTTTTTTAATTTCCATTTCGCTGACACAGCTTTAGCAGAAATCTCTCTGTAGTCGTTTTCGTCGACAAAACGAATAGCAATATCGTTCTCCGCGTCTTCCGCCATTTTGTTCTACGTCAATTCGTGAAGGACGCGTGCCTCCGAGCGTGGGTCATCCACGCGGAACACATTCGCGCTATGTGATTAGCTGTTGTCTTATCCCCCTTGGGAACTGTGGTCTTAAAAATAACTCGAGACTAATTACCTATGGAATAGGGTGTGTATGGGGGATGCCTTCTCTGTCCCCTTTATCCTCTCTTGTTATTAGTCAACTTGATAAAAATTACAGAAATTAGCTGGTCTGTTGCTTTCTTTCACTGCAGGAGCCAACAAACGATATAGAAGGACTTCTGAAATCTGGGAAAGCTGTAGGATCCTGCATCTCCATCAAGTCGCTCTGGCCGTACTTACCAGCGGGAATTGATTACGGATTTATTTACAGTGAAGAGAGGTAGACCATGAGTACAGTCCCTTATTTTCCCAAGGGATAGTAGAGCAAACAAAATAATTAAGAGGGCGTTCATGAAAAACACAACCCTCGAGTAAGGCGACCTTTCCCAGCTTGCCGCGCACCTTCCTCGTGGGTAGCAATTTTCACTGCCACTCGGGTACTAACTTCCTCTACTTCCCCCAAGGCAAATAAGGGACCACTCATTGTCTGGAAGAACTCTTCAAAAATCAATCATCAAGAGACGGAAAAACACGAAACGACAACGAGCACTGCATAAAACAAAAACGTTTTGGTCCAATTAGACGTTGTAGATACTTGTGGAAAACTTCAACAAGTGCTCGCTCAAAACCCGCTGTTCAAGGGTTTCTAGGAACAGGTTTCAGTCATTCCGTGGACGAACCTTTTATAGACTTCAAGGAAAAAGTTGCTTTATTTGCGTGAACTTGCACTGGGCCGCATATACCATATACACTGTAAATAGAAATTATATACCGTAACATCCCGTTTCTACGTGTTCAGAGAAATTGGTTACTGGTTTAAACTTTTACAACAACAAAAACGAAAACAACATTAGCTTTATTTACATGCCTATAAGTTCTAACAGTACAGTTGCAATTAAAGTTTTTAAAATTAAAACAAGAAGAAACAATAAAGCAACAAAGAGATAACAATTAAGTTACATCAGACTCAAATGGTAATAAATCAGTACAAAAATATAATCGTGATAATGCAAACTTCGTCCATTGATTTTTATTAAAACCGCAAAGAGGACAAAATAATCTTGTGATTTGGTAAATTCTGCAACTTTCGATCATCCTTTTCTTTCCTTTCAGTTACCTTGGTTTTATCTTTTAAGTAAGGGAAAAATATCGTTCTTAAAATTGTTAAAAAATTCTAGCAGGTTTCTTTGAGTGTTGAAATATGTATTTGTTTGACAATGCAACGTTTGAACCTACGCGGTCCGGGATGTAATAGTTTTCTTTGTTATTAATACAAGGGAGAATTCCTTAATATCAATAATACGAGGAAGATTCAAGTTCAGCTCTACAAGTAATACTTGATCAAGTTTTGCTTGTTTCGAGACAGCGAAAAATCAACTCAGTACACGACATAATAGATTCAAAAAGGTTAGAATCCGAGCCCAATAAATGTCTTTAAATCCTGTGTAGGCCGTTAATTTATACAGGCCCTATACGGGCTAAGATGTCAGTGCTCAGCTCTTGAGAAACTTCTCTTTTCAATGAATTCTCCCACCGATTTGGGGTGGTACGGAACAGTTTGGCCACCTCCCCCCTCCCCCTACATCCGTCTTGTGAGCGATGTAAATAAATTACTGTAATTAGATGTATAAAAGATGTAAATATCAGAAATTTTCTTTATTCACGTTCGTACTGGACGCAATGTGTAAAAATAAATGATTGATTTAATTTGAAGGCGACACAAACTGGTGTCTGTTTATTTAATAACCATCCGGTGCTTCCCTTCTGCGTATAAAGTGTTTCTTTAGCCTTCGTGACAGGCGCACGTGAAATATAGAGGCAAATATGAACGGCAGCGCTATCTTCGTGTGAGGAGAAAGAACGCTACCTCTCTCTTCGCGTTCTCATCTCCCTCGCGCATCACTTGACGCGCACCCATATTTCGCGCACGCCTACCCCGCAGAAAAAGAGCAAACATTGGGGGTGGTCACGGGAACGTTGCTTGGCAAAGTGCGTCACCTATGTCCAAGAATGTACGCGGGTATAGTCTCAATAAGCACTTGATATATGGCTGGGCTGTTGTCATTTTGATCTTTGAGATCTTGCCTTTTTCATTTAGATATGATTTGCTGGAATTCTTATTTGCCAAAATTTATGTATGCATTTTGATGAACTGGTATTCATAAGGACGCTATGTGACGGCTATTACAAAAATCTTGCATCTCGCAAGGATTCGATCCTGCATCAGTTAATCAGCAAAGATTTATAAGTGTAATTTACAAGTGTTCGTTTTATTTCCAGACTCTAAAGCAATAGCTACACTTGTAAATTAAACTTGTAAATTTAACGATGAATATATTTCAACGACGACTTTGGCTAAACTTATCTAAAGAAAACCTCAGTGCTCCTCCTTAAAATTCTACGAATGAAAAGTTTAGAAAAATTCTCATTTTGAACCTCTGATGTTTAAAAACGGTTTGGACAAAAATCTCAGGGGGAAAAAACAGTGAAACTTCAACCTTGATCCATGGTTTTCACATCCCCCCACGGACTTGAACTGATTGTTGCCGAGTCGACTCTCGTTTCTTTCCTGTCAAATGATTACGTCAAGTTGAAACTATCACGTGATCTTAATAAAACACAAGCCTTTCTTTGCGATCTTCACAGCTTTCTTTAATTCTGCTTTATTTGACTTCCGATCCTTCTGAAGTCTAAAAAAAGAGATACCAACATTAAAGATTTATACGATGATAACAGTTTTTCGTCCGCAACGTGAACGCTTTAAGGCCTTCGTGACACGTTCCTCCCTCGAGATAGCCTGCGTAAAATTATATGCTAGATAGAACGAGGCGCACCCCGTCCATTGCGCCTATATATTATACTACTTCCAAGCGCCTGTCGCGCACGCAGGTTAGATGAAGCCCTATAAGCCCTGGGTAGGTTGTTAGTTAATGGAGCAAACGTGCGCGGTCTTCTGTGCAGAAGTTTTCGAGTTCGATTTCCAGGTGGGACCTTAATCCTTGTTTCGCCTTTTACTCTTTTCCTTGTAGCTTTTTAAAAGTAGCTTTTAACACCAGTAAAAAGGAGAACTGATGGAGAGAAGGAGGTAAAACGAGCGCAAAGTCTGCCTCATCTGTGTCAGTCAAATGTGCAGTATTACGGGTTCATTTCCGACGTAAAATAAAGATCTTTATCGTTACCTTGCTGCTATCCAGTAACCCTCAGGGTTTAAGAAAGGTGATTTTTGTCGGGGAAACTTAGTGGAACACTCCTGGACTTAGTAACTGACCAATGCCTATCAAACAATTAAACTGGTAGCAGGATTATCGCGCGACCAAACAACTTAAACGGCGTCTAAACATTGTAATAACTAACTGGCTCAAGATTCCATTTTAAAGTAGCTAGGTAGGATGTACGATATCTAAAATTGCATAAAATAACAACTTGCCTTGTGACGAGTGATAAATCCCCGCAACCAAACATCACAAAAAACAAAGTGTCTTTCGGTAG